GCAAATAATAGTCTGTTGTCCTTTCAAAACCATAGTCTCACAAAAGAAAATTAAGAAAAATAGTGTCTACGAATAAAAGTTATTCTTGGCTCTCAAGTTGTTTGGTAGATAAAGGGCATACAAAACCCTTAAATGAGGAAATTTTGCCCTCAAATGAAAATGAGGTCTTGTTAATGACAAGAAAGAAAGATTAACATGCCCTCGCTCTTATCCATCATTGTTTGGATGATGGCATGTTTAAGAAGGTGGCTAATGCAACCACCAAGGAGTTGATAAAGCAAAGAAGTTAAAACTTCAAACTCTAAGGGCTAACTTTGAAGTTTTAAGAATGAAAGAATTCAAATCCATTTCAGATTATTGTTCAAGATTGATGGTTGTTGTAAATAAACTAAAAAGATACGACGAGAAGTAGATGATGTGCGTCAGGTAGAATAGATCATTCGTTCTTTAACACCTAAATTTGATTATGTGGTGTGTGCTATTAAAGTCTAAAGATATAGACTCTATGACGGTAGATTAATTGGAAGTTTCTTTACTAGCCCATGAAGAGAAAATGAAAGGAGAAAAGAAGAGTCAATACAACAATTTCTTAAAACTTATGCATCCTTCAAAGTATTTGCAGGTGACAAAAGTTATAAAGGAAATGAACAATGGTGAGGTTGTAGAGGCCTAGGAAGAGGAAGAAGTTATACCAATCATTTCAACAATGAAGATAAATGTCACCAGTCACTTAGAGGTTGTGGTCGTGGTCAGGGAGGGGGTAGAGGTCGTGGAGCCTATCACGGCACAAATGAAATGAGGTATGAAAAATCTAAAATTGAGTATTATAACTGTCCTAAAATTTGAAATTACTCTTGGGAATGTCTTAATAATGTTGAAGAAAAAGTTAATATTGTTGACAACAACAAAGATGAAGATGGATCAACACTATTATTAACACCCAAAGAAAAAGATAAAGATAATTGCAACTCATGGTATCTTGACAATGGAGAAAGCAACATATGTGTAGTTACAAAGATAAGTTTGTGGAGATAAAGAAGATAGTGAAAGATAATGTGTCTTTAAGAGATACATAAAGATTCAAATTGAAGGGATAGGTACGATTTTTATATCCTGTGGTCATAAATTGATTGCCAATGTTTATTATGTACCAAAATTAAAAAGTAATATTTTGAGTTTGGGTCAACTTCTTAAAAAAGAATATGATATTCATATGAAAAATATGCATCTTTGGCTGAGAGATTCAAATGACAACTTAATTGCTAGAGTTCATATGGCAAAGAATAGGTTGTTTCCTTTGAATCTTCAAAGTATCGATGCAAAGTTTTTGAAGACTAATGTGCAAGATGACTCATGGTGTTGGCATATGAGATTTGGGCACTTGATCTTTGATCCGCTCAAATCAATGGGAGACAAGAACATGGTTGATGCGATACCGTTAATCAACCGTCCAAATTAATTGTGTGAAGCTTGTCTTCTTGGAAAACATGAAAGGAGGAGTTTTCCAAAAGAGACTACATTAAGAACAAGTATGCCACTCCAACTTGTACACACCGATGTGTGTAGTCCAATCGATCCACCTTCTTTTGGTAAAAGAAAATACTTTTTGCTCTTTATTGATGATTTCAGTAGAAAGAGTTGGGTATACTTCTTGAAGCAATAATCTGAAGTTTTTGTTGCCTTTAAAAATTTCGAAACACTTGTAGAAAAAGAAAGTGGTTATGAAATAAAAGCATTAAGGTCCGATAGAGAAGACAAATTCACTTCAAAAGAATTTAATGACTTTTGTCAATCTCATGGAATTCGTCTTCCTCTAACGGTATCTTACTCGCCCCAACAAAATGGAGTTGTAGAAAGAAAGAATAGAACAATTCTTAATATGGCTAGATGTATGTTGAAAGCTAAACATCTACCAAAAGAATTTTGTGCCGAAGCTTTTTATTGTGCAATTTATTTGAGCAACAGGCCTCCAACAAGAAGTGTACGAGATCAAACACCTCAAGAAGCATGGAGAGGAAGAAAGTCAAGTGTTAAGAACTTTGAGAATATTTGAGAGCACAGCCTACGCTCATGTTCCACATCAAGGGAGAGCTAAGCTTGACGATCGGAGTGTCAAGTATGTGTTTGTTTGTTATAACGCAAGTTAAAAAGTCTACAAATTGTACAATCCAAGCAATAACGAGGTGGTGGTGAGTTGTGATGTTGAATTTAATGAAGAATCATCATGGAACTGGAAGGCTCCGAAAGAAAAATTATATGATTTTCTTCCATACTTCAGAGATAAAGAAGAATAGGAGACCATGACACCTGCACGGGATGCAACCCTGCCTCCTTCACCAGCAAATGTTGCATCTCCATCTTCTCAAGAGAGTTCAAGTGAAAGGCCACATAAGATGAGGAGCATTCAAGAACTCTTTGATGACACAAAATAAATTACTAATTTTGATTTTCTGTGTTGTCTCTTTGTTGATAGTGAACCAATAAATTTTGATGAAGTTGTTACTAACAAAAGGTTGAGACAAGCCAGGGAGGAGTAGATTCAGTCAATAGAGAAGAAGAACAACACTTGGGAGTTAATAACTCTTCCCAAGGAACATCGAGCAATTGGAGTCAAATGGGTATACAAGACGAAGAAAAATGCCCATAGAGAGGTTGAACGATACAACACAAGACTTGTGGCTAAAGGCTATAAACAAAGGCATGATATTGACAATGAAATAGTCTATGCGCCTATTGCCCGCATGGAGACGATCCGTCTATTGATCTCTTTAGCGGCGCAAATGAAGTGGAAGATCCATCAACTAGATGTCAAATCAGAATTCTTGAATGGATATCTTGAAGAAGAACTCTATGTTGAGCAACCATTGGGTTTTGTGGTTAAAAATCATGAAGATAAGGTATTGAGGTTGAAGAAAGTCTTATATGGGTTGAAGAAAGCTCCAAGAGCTTGGAATAGTCGCTTTGACAATATACTTTCAAGACAATGGGTTACTCGTTGTCTCCATGAATATGCTCCTTACATTAAAGTTCATACTAATGGAGATATTCTGCTTGTTTGTGTTTGTGTTGATGATCTCATTATAACGGGTAACAACTCAATTCTATTTGAAGCTTTCAAAAAAGCTATGTCCCTTGAGTTTGACATGACGGACATAGGGCTCATATCATATTACTTAGGCCTAGAAGTGAAGCAAATGGAGGAAGACATCTTCATATCTCAAGAAAACTATACAAATGTGATTTTGAAGAAGTTCAACATGTTTGATTGCAACCCTGTGAACATACCAATGGAAAGTGGAACAAAATTTTCTAAGTCTGACGATGGAGAAAAAGTGGATTCCACTTTGTTCAAAAGTCTCGTAGGAAGTCTGAGGTACTTGACATGTACGAGACCACATATACTCTTTGCAGTTGGAGTAGTAAGTCCTTTCATGGAAGCTCCTACCTCCACTCACTGGAAGGTCGCTAAAACAATTTTTTGCTACCTAAAAGGTAGAATTGACCTGGGGCTATTTTATTCTTCTTCTGATGATTTTTATCTTGTAGGATATTGTGATAGTGATTATGTGCGAGAAGTTGATGATAGAAAAAGCACATCAGATTTTGTGTTTTTTTAGGTGATTGTGTTATTTCTTGGAGTTCAAAGAAACAATCAATTGCTACTCTCTCAACTTGTAAATCTGAATATGTGGCAGCGACATCATGTACGTGTCATGCTATTTGATTGAGACGATTATTGAAGGAACTAAATTTTCCACAAATTGAAGCCACAATGATTTGTGTTGATAAAAAATCTGCGCTAGCACTTGCAAAGAATCATGTGTATCATGATCGAAGCAAGCACATAGACACAAGGTATCACTTTATCAGAGAATGCATTGCCAAGAAAGAGTAGAGTTCAAGTATGTGAAATATATGATCAAGTAGCAGATATCTTTACAAAGCCTCTTAAGTTTGATGATTTTCAAAGTTTGAGATCAAGCTTTGGAGTAAAGAAGAAAAATCAAAATTAGGGAGAGATTTGTGGGAATAAAATATTGGCATCAATTAATTTGGCAACCATACTTGTTGAAATTGCTAGCCACAAATGTGAAAATTGATAGTCATCAATGTGAAAGTTTGTAGCCACATTTGTGGAAGTAGGTAGTCAATGTTTGGTATAAGTTTGGTAGAGTTTGGCAGCCAATTTTTGTGGAAATTGGCTACCACATTATGTCAATAATGATGCAATCAAGTGTTCAAAAAACTTTATAAATTGAGTGGTAATTGAACACTTGAAGACACACCAAAATAGAGAAGTAATAGAGAGTAGAGAGAGTAATCCACAAACTACTTCTTTGTGAGAAAATAGTGTGCAAGTAATATTATTGTAAGTTGTAAGAAATAAAAGAGTGTTGAATAGTAGCATTTTGACACTACCAAATTTTTTATCAATATTATTGTATTACTTATTCGGGTATCATATTTACCCATTTTAATATTTGGTGTGGCAGTTACTCTCTTGTTATTGCTATTTAGTTTGGACATTATCCTGGGTGTGATTATCATTTTTTTGCAATAGTTACGCCATATTGTATTGCATCTGATCTTGTTCCCACCATGTGAGTGAATGAAATATGAAGTTTCAAAACTCAAGAGATAGGTAATTAATTTCATATGATAATGAATAAAAAAATATAGTTTTACTTTGAATGTCTCGTAGCCTCCCGAAGATAGATACATACATCACCGTGCCAATATGGTGAGTAAATATCATGTCACTTGATATACCATGTGTATTAGCCATAGTACTCGTTCCCTTGAAAACTTGATTACTCTGTAGTTGTAATTGCTATTGTGAGAATTACTCTAGGGATAGCCATCATGCAATTTATAGCATTGTCCTTGGCGTGTACATGCCTCTTATGAAAGTACCATGCATTCAGCTAATTATTAGTTCCTCTTCTTCTTATTCGTCAATAACAATATAAAGTTTAATTATCAAAACAATGTCTCTTTAGCTACATGTATGGGGGAGGCGCAGGAACAATGACACTAGATGAACTTCATTCACTTGAAAAGTACCTTGAAATTTGGATGTATCATATTCGTTCAGCAAAGGTAATAATTTCATAAAAGCACCAAATTATTTGTCATTGGAATTATTTAGTCTAGTACTTTTATTCATGTGAAATGAGCGTTGTTTGAATGTCTTGCAGATGGATATCATGTTTCAAGAGATCCAACTGTTGAAGAATAAGGTTAGGCAATATCCAAGTTTTATATTACTAACAAGTTTACTTTTGAAGAAGATGTACTTTCTATTTATTATTTTTCTTAATTCTCAACACTTATCTTGAGACGAAAGTAGTACAATTCTACTTGGTAATTATGATTAGTGAAGTTTATTCCAATATAATGAGCTTTATGGATTTTTATTTGGGACACAATATCTTCAAACGTGATGTAAAGTTTCTAAGCATATTATGATTTAATATTTTGTGGTAGTACTTGTTTCTTACAACCTTTAGTTTAATTACTAAAAATATTATCATATTTATATTAGGAAGGGATACTGGAAGCTGCAAACAAATATTTACAGGATAAGGTAAATACCTTTGGAATTCCATATATTCAAAAAAAATTTACTTATAATAGTTATCATCGTAAACATTTATTTTATCATTGTGTATTTTGCAGATAGATGAGCAATACACTGTGACTAACATGACCCAGAATTTGACTGACTTTCAATGCCCACTAACTGTACAAAATGAGATATTTCAGTTTTAACATATGCTCACTATGTAAGTTATTCTTATTGTGAAGCATCTATGTAATTTGGTAAGGAGATGTAATAATGATGATTGAGTAATTTCACTTTGGAGAGATGAACATATAAGTATGTTATTATGTTCAATTTAGGTAATATGTTTAGTGTGTGAGCCTTTTTAGTGTATCTTCTCTAGTATGGTGCTACTTATTATATATGTCATCTTATAATTTCTGAGTCAACTTCTTGTTTTGTTATTCAAATGAATCATTATTTTGTTATTGATTGGTTAAATGAACTTATTATATATATATATATATATATATATATATATATATAAAGTGAGAAGAAGTTTACACAGAAGCTAGATTACAATTTTATCCCTACATTAAATTTAAATGTCATAAATTAAACTTTTCACCTCCAGATTGATTGCAAGCAAAAGAGTACTCCTAAAGAAACTATACATTGGCGTAGGAAGTAATACTTGAATTCAGTTCGGTGGGAGAATCACTACTACAGCCCAAACAAAGAAACTAAATCATAATACAAAGGGATATAAGTATATGAAAGCGGAAATAAAAGCTAAAAACTGAAGTTCCCATAAACTTCAACAAATATCTAACAACTATCGACTAACAATACAGAAGAATAACCTAGAATATGAAAGTCAATATACCAAAACATCTAAACAATGATCCATGTCTAAATACGAATGGGTACAACCTTAAACTATTGAACTAATCAACTAACTAGAACAAGGGTCCAACTTAAAAAATGGTGGGCATAAACGAAAAAGAATCTCATGAAAGCACGGTGTAATTGGCTCACCCTTGAATTCGAACGATGATCATAGATTTTCTAAGTGAGGTCTTCCAGTAGCCGCTTGAAGATGCACTGTACTCAACCGAAATAACAACAAATGCAGAGCCAATACACAATCACAATGTACTGGTAATATCATGCGGCTATCCCACTAATGCAACATAAACAAGTCAAGACAGCATTATAATCACATACATATATATCAACATATACAAAATCGTCGACATTTATGAACAACACAAAACTTCACATTTTATATCAGATCATTGGTTCTCTCATGAAACTTAAATCCAAACAGTTAGAATGTCGAAAAGTTGCAACTGATTCAATATTCATCCGGAAACGTGCAAATCGATCCCATATTTATTTCAGAACGTGGCAATCCAATCCAAGATAGTTATGCTGAAATGTGGCAATCGAACCCATTCACATACCACAATAACAAACACAAGTATATATATCCTTAAGATCATACATTTAAGTCATGATTTCATGGCAATGATATATCATCTATCTCATTTACAATAAATATGAACAACATTGCAACATTCATACATATACAAGTATCATAATGAAGCAAGAACACGCGTACATCACACAGACATAGAATCATAATCATCACCTACCTTGAAATAAGTTTGAAAGCCTAAGAAACTTGGTTCTTTCCTTACCGGATTCGTTTCTCTTGTTCTTGGTGTACAAACATTCACAATAATACGAAAATCAACAATAATCGCTAATTACCTAAAACTATAACAATTCTATGAAACCTAAATCAAACCCATGATTCCATTTATCCAAATTAGGGTTATTTCTACCATATAATCTATAGCAAAATTATTTTCCATCAATATTCATCCATTCTATTAGTTCTATGGATCGAAAAATGAATGGGGGGGGGGGGGTGAACAACTTACATTTAGAGTCAGGAATGGTGAAAAATGAGTAGGAGTCTCCTGAGGTTCTTTTGTGAGCTCAAAAATCTGAAAAGTGCATAATGAGGTTGTTTACGGTTTATTAACGACCTCAAGTCGCGTCGATCCCGTCGCAGTGGCCCTCACCCCGCTGTAGCGGCTCTGCCAAGGTGACCCATATCCTGCCAAAAGCTGCAGAAATGGAACCAGTGAGCTATTTAAAAGAATTTCAAAATTCCATTTCACAACACACCTTTAACCCATGACGATAAAAAAATACCTTTTATGCTAAAGTCAATTTCGGGAGTTCTACTCGCCCTAATTCATTTTCATAAAGTCGTGTGGGTTTGTTAATGAATTATCTAACTACTCATGTAATCAAAACAAAAACAATTCACCCGATTGTTACCAAACTTCCCTACACTTCAAAGACTCTGATTTCGTTCAAATCTAAACTAGGTTGGAAAAATTTAAATACTACCAAAAAGTTTTCTGGCCCCAAATTTCCCCCCATTGGCATTTTTATAACAATGGGAACACATCGTTAAATTAATTTATAATTAGTAAAAATATATAAATGAGCCATAAAATATGAAATAGTTACAAGTTCATACTCAAAGTCAAAGTAGTTCATGATATACTTATTCTTTCATATATAATTACAGCCCATACCCCAATCCATTAAGCCTGATAATTTTCGCTTAACTTATACTAAATCTGTATCATATACTATATTGATATCATTAAGTCTGATAATAAATCAATATCATCTATTGTATTAGTATCTAGATGTTGTTCCGGACGAGCACTTTTTTTCTTTGTCCAATACTGTCTTACAAAACAAGATTGACTTTTTTCCAATCCAATATACATCTCGTGCAAGATGTTAGTGGCATGGAACTAGCTCTCTTAAATTGATACTAAATTGATATAAATATTGTATTGATATCATTAGGGTTTCTTGTTCAGAAATTACTCATTAGTTAATGATACTATAAGAGTATATGTATATTGGTGGGGTATCATTAAGGTTTCTTGTTCAGAAATTACTCATTAGTCAATGATACTGTTAAAATGTATGTATACTCTAATAGTATTATTGACTAATAAGTAATAACTAAACAAGAAACTTTTATATGTATATGTATATATATATAAATATATATGTATATGTATATATATATACACACACATGCACACAAAGAGATTTAGTATTAATTAAGTAAAATTAGCAGTCTTAGTGATACAAATTCCATTTAGTATTAGTTAAGTGAAGTTATCAACCTTAATGATATCACAACAGTTTAATTTAGTATTAATTGTGCAAAATATTTGGGGGTGTAAAGTGTAATTATTCAGTAGGGTATGAATGTAACGGAGTACATGTTAATTTTCCCATTTAATTAGCACGTAATTAATAAAATTTATAAAGAAATTAGATAGTACAATCAATTTATGGAAAATTGGATATTAAATATTTTTTTATATTAATGTTGCTTAATGAATAAACCACGAAAATGTTTTAAGTTATAATATCTTAAAATTCATTATATTTACTTCAATTTTTCAGCCTTCTATTATTTATGGTGAGAAGACCAAAAGTTACTATCTTAATTATTTAAACCATTAATAATTTTAATAATGCTGAAAAAATTATTCTACGAGTTACTATACCGATTAGTATAAATATATATCTGGCATGCGTCTTTTTTCCTTCACGGACCACATTTTTCTCATATGCACTCTCAAATTTTTTTTAGTTATTATTGAAAACTAGTGATCTGGTCCATGCTTCGCGTAATGTCAAGATAAATCAAGACATCAAGACATGACAATTATTGTTAAACTTTAAATTAAATATATTTTTCTCTACTTATCAATTAATTTGATTTTTTCGTTCGACTCCAACTAATTTGATTTTGTTACAGTCACATTTTTAAAATTTAAATCATATAAGAAAAAAAAAATTAAGCTCAACAAATATAATTATAAATGGAACTTTTGAATATAATGTTGAGCAATTAATAAGATGTACAGCTGTCGACTAGTGATTAGTTGATAATTAAGTGAGCTAACAATTTAAGTCAGTAGGAATTAGTTAAACAATTTTTATATATATAAGCAGATTCATTGTGATTAGCTTAGCCTTTAAGATACAATGTACATGTATATATATATATATATATATATATAT